CCCTTAAACATCAAGGTTTTATCTTCGACTATTTCAAATCTCTTTTCCAAAAAAGGATCATTTTTCTGAGCAGCTACTATTTTATCCCTGAGTGTCAGCTTCATAGTAAAACTTCTAACATTGTTGATGTCCTTACTGGTGACGTTAAAACTTCAATTCTCAGGTTCTCAAAATCTCTGATTAAATGGTCCTGCCTCGTACAAAGTACTGACAACCGTCCCATGTTTTTCTACTCAATGCATCGGCGACTACATTGGCCTTACCCGAATGGTACAAGATAGTGCAGTCATAATCCTTCACCAATTCTAACCACTGTCGTTGTCTCATATTAAACTCTTTCTGGGTAAAGAAGTATTTGAAACTCTTGTGATCAGTATAAATCTCACATTTGCTCCCGTATAGGTTGTGGCGCCAAATCTTCAAGGCGTGCACTACCGCTACTAGTTCAAGATCATGTGTAGGGTAATTCTGTTCATATTGCTTCAATTGCCTCGAAGCATAAGTAATGACTTTCCCATGTTGCATTAAAACACATCCTAAACCAAGCTTGGATACATCACTATAAATCACAAAACCTTCCGAACCGTTTGGAATAGTCAACATTAGTGCAGATACGAGTTTGTCCTTTAACTCCTGGAAACTCTGCTCGCATTTCTCTACCCATAAGAACTTAGTACCCTTCCTAGTCAATTGTGTCATAGAACTTGCTATCTTGGAAAATCCTTCTATAAATCTTCGATAATAATTGGCTAAATCCAGAAAGCTCCGCACTTCTCCAACATTTGTAGGTTTCGACCAATTGGTCACAGCCTCAACTTTGGACTGATCCACTTCAATTCCTCATGCTGAAATAGTATGGCCTAGAAATCCAACTCAATCTAGCCAAAATTCACATTTCTTGAATTTAGCATATAAATTTTCCTTATGCGGTGTTTTTAAAACTATCCTCAGATGTTCTTCATGTTGATGAGAATCTCTCGAGTATATTAATATGTCATCAATAAATACGATGACAAACATGTCCGAATACCGATAGAACACTCTATCCATCAAGTCCATAAACACCGTTAGGGCATTCGTCAAGCCAAAGGACATCACTGTAAACATAATAATGCCCATATCGGGTCCTAAATGCTGTCTTTGTTATGTCAGTCGACTTGATCTTCAACTGACGATAGCCTGATCTTAGATCAATTTTCAAGAACACGAATGTACCTTTCAACTGATCAAATAGGTCCTCAATTCTAGGAGGGGATATTTATTCTTAATCGTCAACTTATTTAGTTCATGGTAGTCAATGCATATCCTCATAGTACCATCTTTCTTTTTACAAAGAGTACCGGAGCTCCCCATGGAGATACACTTGGTCTAATGAGCCCTTTGTTCTTCAAGCTGCATCTTCAAATCCTGTAATTCCTTTAGTGCCATTCGGTATGGAGCTTTGGACACAGGGGTAGCTCTAGGTATCAGATCTATTGTGAACTTCACTTTTCTATCGGCCAGAGTACCCGGTAGATCTTTGGGAAACACGTCAACATTTTCTCGTACTATTGCCACATCACCTAATACTTTCTCTTGAGTGGATGTACTAGTAAGACTAACAAGATATCCTTCACAGTCAACCTTTCTCAACACGCTCTCTGCTTTTAATGCTGAGATAACGTGAGAATGTGCCTTAATCCTCGTTCCATAAAATCTGAACTCCTCTTCTCTCGATCTTCGAAAAATTACTTCTTTCTCAAAACATACTATCGTGGCTCTATTCTCACCCAACTAGTCCATACCTAAAATAATATCAAAATCTTTCATCTCTATAACATACAAGTCAGCCTCTAAAGTCAGTCCATCAAAATCTATCTGTACCCCCTTTTGCTATCCTATCCGTATCAATAGCTCTACCTGATGGCATACTCACCTCTAGTACACTATCATTCTTCTGACATGAAACATTAATCTTAGCTAGACATGCATTAGATATGAGCGAATGTATCGCACCAAAATCAATCAGGACGTAAATAGGAATATCAGAGATGGATAAAATACTTGCAATCACGTCTAGATTTTTAGCAGCCTCATCGTGAGTCAAAGTAAACACCCTTGCTTTTCCCTTTTTCTCTTGTCGGGTTTCTTAATTGATGGGCACGAAGAAGCCACATGGTTGGGTTGACCACACTTATAGCAAACATACTTTCCATACAGACATTTTCCTTTGAGAAACTTGTTGCACTTAGGACATTGGGATATAGGATTGCTTGACTGACCCATATGCATCTCCTTCTTAAACTATCCCGTATTCTTATTCTTGCCCTGCCACTTCCTTTTCCCGAAGTCTTTATGTTGTCCATGATTTACCAACTTCACCCCCGAGTAGGTCACTATTTTAGCTTTCTTTACCACTGCTTAAAAAGTTGTGAGATCATGTGAACTCACTATCTGCCTAATCTTTGGGCCCAGGCCCCCTCTTGTAACATTTTGCCTTCATGAGCTCGGCACTTACAAGATGTGGGCATATCGGGACAATTCCTCGAATTTGCTCTCATACTCAGAAAGTTCCATATCTCCCTATACCAATCTTAAGAATTACATCTCCTTGTGGTCTCGCATAGCTTGTGGGAAAAACTTCTCTATTAGCTAGAGATCCCACGTTAAGTTATGTTGTTCCTCCTCGGTGCGAGTGCGTGATGTGGATTCCCACCAATGGCATGCTCTCTCTATTAGCATAAACTCTGCACATAATACTTTTTGATTTTCAGGGCAAGAGATGTGTCGAAAA